TAGTATTTGACCGTGAAGAGATTGCGCCGTTTATAATCGACATTAACGAAGATTCACATTATAGTTTTAGTGATTATGACAGTGAAGATTCTAATACTGCAGAGGGCATTCAGCCACTGTAACATGTAGGTTATTTTCCATTACCATCCTATTTGATTGTACTAGCGGCATGTTCTGCTGATGTCTTTTATAATCACACTATCACTTCACTGGCCAAATATACAAATCACTGGTCAGACGACGACGTTGTGCAACATGCATACTTATTATTGTTTATACTTTACTTTTGTATCTATTCCATGTCAATAAAGTAACTTATTCTGTAGATGTGACGTGCCTATTGTGGCATTGAAGACGGTAAGCATATTTCTCTAACTTGAAGCCTGTCACAACTGTTCAATGCTGTCTGTTTGAGACGTATGTTAACATTCTCGTTGGTAGCTTTAAGTACAGTATGAAGCCTTGTACCACCCTCCAAGTATGTGTTTAACACCCAATTGTCAGCAGTTTTTACCAGCAGTCAATGCAAAAATGAACGTTCTTAAAGCCAGTCATTCACGTTCCAACGCCGGGGTACGATTGTATTGGATACAACTGCTGTACAATTTTGCTGAAAAGCAGCAGTACACACACGTTACGACCTTGCAGTTAAAAATTTGCGATCGTGGTGGCAACATGTCCGAAGAAAATGGACTTTTATACCTGCTTTCACGGTTTGTATAACATACACTGTCCCCACACGATTAAGTTTCCAACCAATACAACACGATTGTACTGCTGCAGACAGACTTGTTCACCAACCGTCCACATCCAACCGATTTGCTTGATCGCATACACAGATGTTCGAAAACACTTCAATTTTGTCATATCCTACACAATTGTACCGCGGCGTTGGAACGTGAGTGGCAGGCTTCAGTAACTAGGAACACGTGAAAGGGGTTACAGTCGTGATCTTTCCTGTGCCTGAGTTTGTAATTCATAGCGTCTATGCAGCCTGCAGCATGCCCTTGTATGCTGAAACACTGCAAGTGTAGCTGATTTCTAAACTGTTGCTTCACACTAACGGTCTTCTCATGCTATAATCATAAATAGAACAAACCAAAACAATAACAAGCCGACATGTTTGTTGACAGTTTTCAAACCGATTCATTTGTATAATAAGCGTGGTAGACGCATGACGTCATACAGAGTCCGTGACGTGTACGCATTGCTTCGTGATCCTGACTATAAAACAGAGGAACTTCAGGAGATTGATAAGTTACACGTCAATTGTTTATACCATATGTCATACGATGGAAATAGTTTAATTAATATAAATAGTTCTGTCTAAATAGACATAACAACTGAAGTACATATATTCATCATATATATATTATGTAATAGGCTAATATATAGATATGTTTCTATAATGTTAAGAAGTATTGTTTAATTTTCTTTATATGTTTATGTTTATATTTTCATTTTATATTCAATATACCTATGCTTTCAATAAAATACGAGTTTTTGTTTAATTCCTTCCAAAAGTGCTAATCAATTAATTAATTAATTAATTAATTAATGGTGCGGCAGTAACAACCATAAAATATCGTTCATGATATCATTTATTACAGTTGAAATACATAATTTTTTGTTACGACAATTATTAAATTTTGTTTAATAAGACCGTAGAATATGGTTCCAGCAAGTACAACATTTTTGGCTTTTATAACCACAGTTTTGTGGTTAACAGATTTACAATATTTTAAAGTTCTTGTAACCATAAAAATTAACAATAAATTCATGATGTTTGTAACTAAAATAATCATTGTCCTATATATGACCACAAAATATTGTAGGAATTGCCGATATTATAATTCGTGGAACCATTTATTTTTTAGTGTGTAAGGACGTACTAAAAATGACAATGTCATCTAAATAAACTAAACAGCGTAAAATATTATCCATAACACGCTGAAAAGTCGCTGGTGCATTTTTTAGTCCGAATGGCATACGTCTAAATTCATAGTGACATTTTCAGTCGTAAATGCTGTTTTAGGAATGTCGTTCGAGTTCATTTCAATTTGAGGAAACCCACTAGGTAGATCTAGCGTCGTAAAATATTGATTCTTCCCTAACTTATCCAAAATATCGCTTATCGTTAACAGTTTTTTCATTTAATTTACGATAGTCAACAACCATACGCCATTTTTGAACACCGGAGGCGTCTACACGTTTTGAAACTATCCAAATAGGCTAGACCAAGGCGAGGTAGAATTTTGTATGGTACCCTGTTTCAACATTTTTGAAATTTGATCACGGACCTCTGTTTTATGTACTTCCGGATATCTATAAATTTTAGTATAGATGGGAGTGTCATTTGTCAGTTTAATTTCATGTTGGACTTTGTTAGTAAATGTTAGTGGAATTTTATCACAATAAAATATGTCCCTAAATTCGTAACATACCTTAACTTATGAATGGTATTTTTCTCCTCACGATTACAATGATCAAGTCGCAGATTTTTTAAATTATTCTTTTGAAAGTGATCGTCCTCAGCCTCTGGCACTTCGTCAGTTTCCATTTGTTCACAAAAATTTACATCGCATAAATCTAAAGTTTCTATACCTATCAAAAGGTTCTTGAATTTTAATTTTGACAGAACGCTCATTAGAATTGGAAAATACCGTTAAAGCAAAATTATTATTAACATTCACTAAAGCTTGAGGTGTGTCTAATTGATTACCGAAATTTCTGTATTTTAAAATTCCTACATCCTCTTTCATTTTCATGGAATTCTTACAACTTGCTGACATCGAGGTGGTATAACTATCGAATGACAATCGATATTTTTGGAAACGGTTTTAAGTGAAGATTGGGCTTTTTCATAAATAATCGGGATTTTGGTCGAAGGTGTTATTATTTCATGTTGATTAAAATCTATACTAGCATTTAACTTCATCAAAAGATCAGCGCCTATTAATCCATTGAATTTGGGCGAAAATTAAACAGATCAAATTTATGCAAATTATTCGTTTTAAAAATATAAAAAAGAGGTATTACAGCTATTTGGGAGTGATTAGAAATTCCATGAGAGGTTTGTACACTGAAATTTTCATTTTGAATATAGTATGGTTGATAATAATGATATGCTAAATTTGGATTTAAAAAACTTTTTGAGCTACCAGTGTCTATCAAAAAATAAGAATTTAATTCGGGAATAGAGATATATATGGAATATTTTGACCGGTATGAGTAAACGTTATCATCTCGGGTACATTTCTGGAAAAACCTGGTAAAAATTTTGAGAATTCGAGTCAGCATTTTGTGTTGAATAAGTTTCATGATTGTGATAACTCTGATAAGGATCTTCTTCAAACGCTTTGTAAGCTGAACCCAAGTCGTTGTATTGAGTTGAAGAACTTGATGCTTGGTTTCCGATTTCGTTACCGTAACACGTGTAGTACATGCTGTTATCATCAAAACAGTTGTTTTCTGCCGCATTCTCAGATAATCGTTCAGGGCCGGATTCAAATAGATTTTCAAATTCAATATTTTCGGTTCTCTGAACGTTACCTACTTCTTGAGTGTACAGTTCTTCAAAAGTAAATTTAGGTTTTGGTTTTATGGTTGAGGTTCTGGAAGTTGTATCCATCGGTTCGGGTTTTGATAACTTATTATTTCGCGTCATCGAACTCATCCGATTATTACCAAAAGGTTGTTGTTGCACAGATCTAGGAGGAAAGAAATTTTGTTTTGCGATACAAAATTTTGAAATGGCCGTGGTTGAAATGCCATGTTTGGCCTAAATTGATTTGTTTGATTTGGCATAAAATTTGGTCTTATCGGAAATGTTGGTTACGAACTGAACATGGGGGGGATATGCGGAATTTCGAAACGCTATTTGGGGTCGATTAAAACTTGTATAAGTTGGAAAAGCAAAATCTGGTGGAGATGATTTAAGATGTTGATTTTGATTTTGATGGTTTTGACTGCTTCGAAGTTGTGGTTTATAATTCTGTTGTTTTAAATTTTGATTACTTCCGGTATTAAAGTAAATAAAATTTTCTTCTTCAACCACAAATGCTAGAGCTTGTTCTAATGAATCGGGATTTTTCAAACGCACAGGAAGTTGCATGAAATATGGCGACCCATTGATAAAAGTTTTTAAGGCAAATTCTTCATAATGATTGATTTTGATCTGTTTTTCTTGAGCAGTAATATTGGAAGCATTCAATTTAGCAAATAAGAAACTACGCGCCTCTTGTATTCTCATAGTTAATTGCATTGGAGTTTCAGTTTTGAAACGTTTTAAGTTAATGAGGTCCTAGATAAGACAGTCAATACTTCTCTGATCCGAAAAAGTTAAAGTCAAAGCATCTATTTGTTGCCAACTGATTAGTTCTGTACGGGAGCCTATAAGCTCGCCTGCACGGTCTCTCAATTTTGAAACTATCGTATCAAAAATTGCCAAATTTATAGGATCATTTGGATTTTGAACATTTTGGGAGGCACGAATAAAATTCTCACATGCAGTTATAAATCTATTTAAAACTTTAGGATTACCGTCGAAAGACAGAATATTATCTGCGTAATACCGAAGTAGACCAACATTTAGTGGTGGCTGATCTGGCACATTGTCTCAAATATTTATATTTAAAAATTGATTAATCAAATCGTCTAGATCTAAGTCAGAGTTTTGCATATATTATGTTTCAACAAATTGCTCGCGAAATTACAATTATTATTAAAGAAAATTATGATTAAAATAAAAGGAATGAGCACTCACAGTAACGAAGAAAAAAAGGGTGATTTTCTTCATCTGCACTGCCTCTAGGAACCAGCGATGTCGTCCAGAATCGTAGGTCTTCGGTGATACAGTCTCCTAATTTTCTAGGATCCCACTTTTTTGTTCAAACTGCCAGTTTAATCGTAAAAACGAAAATTTATCAATGCCCGATGCAAGATAATTTACAGCAATCCTACCGACTGCGCCACTTAAATTCGGGGGTCCACAAATTAGGTTTTTAAAAACAAGGAAAAAAGCTTTATTACGACCGTTACACAAGTGCGACTAAAAGTGGCCTACAATGTAAAAAATACATATTTATATTGTTAAGAAATGCTGAGTCCGCCCGCTGTCTTGTCCTTGCACACAGGCCGGATGACCTAACTCCCGCTCTCTGGCACAACTTCTCCGCGGCCTTCTGGATTACGAAATTGCAGCGCCGCATCAAATGATATTGACTCTCCTCGGGAGCTTTACGTTTTTCTATGGCGACGGCTAATGCCCACGCTAAACATTTATTGTCGGCATTATTGATAGGAAAAATGCCAGGATTTTTCAATCGGTACTCGTCCGAATTTTCAACACCTTATTCGGACCGCGACCTACGTCGGACGATACGATATCGACTCGTAATCTGAGCAGATCGCACGCGAAGAATTCGGCGTTGCTCTGTAATACGGATTCGAGTACGTCCATTATCACTAGAGAGCTGATTTCTGTCGGGCTAGGCAAGGCCAAACTCGGTACGGCTCGTACGGGTTTGCAATTATGGGCTGCACTTCGTTTATTTGAGACTAGAATAACGCTGCTTCGTTGCACTCTGCTGTTAATTCCCGTTCTCATTTACTTAGCCGTTTGATTAATAAATCGTTAATTGTATTTATGGAATAAATGACGATTAAATTCAGTGATTATCTATCACCCGCTACTGAGTCCCGGCGATCCAGCGCGGCCGGACCTATAATCGTGACGTAGCCCGACAGAAATCCGCTGTCTAATTATCACGTACAACGACATCTGGCTTCTTTTCCTGAACGAAATAGCGAGCGGTCGTTCGACAAAGTTCTCGCTAGTCAGCACCATCCCGACCCAATCGTCCGGAGATACGTCCACCAGAACCTTTCGCAGGAGTTCCCTCATGCCGTTCTGTCGAGGACAAATAATAATAATAATAATCTCGATTAATACGAGGGTATCGTATTTTAACCGCAAGCTTTAACCGTTACCTCTAACCATGTTGCCGGATTCGCTTCGTCCGACATTGGTTTGAAACGGAACTCCAATAAACGACTGGTCAATCCGAATCGGGGATAAAATTTTTCTCGCTCTTCGTACACTTCGAGGTGGGCCAGCGTCGTTTCTTCTTCGTCTTGTTCGATCCCAGCACCACCTTCCTGCGTGCGGATTTATTTTTATGTACATATAGATATACTTATAACCCGATTTTTACCGAAAGTAACTTGCCTGCATCACCCCGTCGGACGTGACAAACGACGCATTTATGGCATCGTCGTCGTCGTCGTCGTCGTCCATATCGAACACTGCTTCCGAACGTACGCCGGCGAGCGAGGAGTTTCCCAGACCCGAAGTGGACGGCATGGGTTCCTATAAATTTTTTGTCGTATACAGCTCTGTTAGAAATAGTTAACACGTAACCCGAGTCGTTTACCTCCGGTGACGTCCGTTGTTGGATTTCTTCCCCTGCTTGCAATTGTCTCTCGCGCGCCTCCGCTTCTAGTAGGTAATTGCTCCAGCAACCGTCTTGTCGCTTTCGGTTTTCTTCGAATTGTCTAGTCAACATTTCGCGATAAGCTTCTTCCAAAACGCGTTTTTGTCTGCGTCTCCCGTTCGCTTCTCTGATCTCGATGATCTACGAAACGTTCGGACGCCGCTTTAACCCACGTTTTACGTACTCTCGGCTATTACTTGCCAACCCCATTCGCCCCAAGAATATAGGGGACGGAGGAGCGTCGAAATCGTCGTTTTCTTGCGACATCTTTGTTTGTTTGTTTTTTAAAACGTGTCAACAGACGGACAGGTTGAACGTTACAGTGATAGAGTTATTGTCTGCGAGCGCGTTTGCAGGTACTATCAGATTTCGCATTTCTTATTATTCGTCAACCATTTTAGACCCGACTTAACCAAGGTACAGCGAGCATTCAACAACACAGTTAGAAAAGAGTATAATGACAGAATCTCCAAAGGCGAATCAGATATCGTTTTAAAATATAAAAAAAAAATCAATTAAGTATAATCAAAAAACGTACCCCTGTAAATTACACGTCAAAAAAGGAATACATTTTTATTAAATGAGTGCTGGTGGTATTAGGACCAAATTAAAGGAGTTCTCAATTGCAGTTAATGTGTATATGATATTCTTATTTTCTCTGAAACTTGGCTTTGTAGTGATATCTGTAATGAAGAATTAAATTTAGTTACATTTTATTACATTTTTCGTGCTGACCGTAATTCTACCACCAGTAATAAGCTTCGCGGAGGGGGCCTGTTAATTGCGATAAAAAAAGACATTCATGCATCTATTATTCTGTCAGGTCAAAACCTCGAAAATTTATTTGTGCAGGTAAAGCATAATGACATAGATCTGATTGTGGGTGGAGTATACATTCCCCCTTCGTCGCAACTAAGTGTTTTTGAAAGTTACTGTTTCGATTTAGAGTCAGTTTTTCATAGGTTTCCTGATTCGTCGTACGTTATAGTCGGTGATTTTAATCTACCTCACCTCCTGTGAGATGGTGATGATATTATGATTTCTTCGCACTCTAGATCTTATGAATTTTGTGACATTATCAAGACTACGTGTGTATTTATGAATTTAAGGCAAATTAACAAAATCCCAAATAGTAGAACTGTCTTTGTTGATTTAGTCTTTTCTAATATCCCGAATCTTGTAGTTGATAAGGCGGTGGAATTTATATTACCTCAAAGTATTCATCATATACCGTATTCGTGGTTTGTTTCGTCTACTGCTGTACCTACCTTACATACAGAAATTTGTGTTTTTGACTTTGCAAATGGTTATTATGAATGATTAAATATTTTTTTTTCTTTTATTGATTGGACTAATTGTTTAGTTGGTGATTCCGTAGATGAATTGGTAGCAATTTTTTATGAAATTCTTTTTAGAAGTTTCGAAAAATATATTCTACGTAAAATTATAAAAAGAAATGCAGATGGAATTCTAGATGGTTTAATAGCGAACTTAAAAGTATTTGTAAGTTAAAGAAATTTGCTCATTTTAAATACAAAAAATCTGGTACTTTGGAAGACTATCTTTATTTCAAATCTCTGCGTACCCGTTGTAAGGAGCTTAGCGAATAACTTTATGCTTCTTACATTGCCATTGTCATTCTGTATCTGTAACAATCCTAAACTTTTTTGGAAATTTATACAAGACAGGAAGAATAATGATTCTGGTATTCCTATCGAAACGTTTCTAGATCAGATATCGGCTAAAGGTGGCAAAGAAATTGTTAATCTTTTTGCTGAATATTTCTCTTCCGTCTATACTAAGGACAACGGTAATCCTGTTGATTGTGACTTTGAAACAACCTTGTGCGTTTATGATGTCGGTCTGGATTTTAAAATTTCAGATGTATTTGATCGTATTTCAGGTTTAAAACTATCGTGCAATCTAGGACCGGACGGTGTTCCTAATATTATTTTACGTAAATGCAAATTCTCGCTTTGTTTACCTCTGTTCCAGTTATTTAAGAAGTCCTTATTGTCTGGTACATTCCCAAAATTATGGAAGAGCAGTTACATTGTTCTTATTTTCAAATCTGGAGAATCCAATAAAATAGATAAAAGAGGTGTCTGTAACCAATCGGCTATACCTAAATTATTTGATGCAATAGTTCCAAGTCAACTACAGTGGTTCTCATCTTCAATTATATCAAACAGACAGCATGGTTTTATCAAGAATAGATCCACATTGTCTAATCTTTTGGAATACTAATCATTTCTTAATCAGGCATTTTCCAACCGCTCTCAAATAGACTCTGTTTACACTGATTTCGCGAAAGCGTTTGATCGTGTAAATCACAGAGTTTTAATTACGAAACTTGGTAACCCAGGGTTTGAAGACTTGACTGTTCAATGGTTATTATCGTTTCTTTCGGAGAGGGTGTAGATTGTGCGCATTGGAAATTACATTTCGAGGCCTTTGAGGTTTCTTCGGGTGTGCCACAGGGAACATATTGTGGTCCCATACTATTCTTCTTGTTCATCAACGATTTAGTGTCCTGTTTTCGTTATTCTAATTGTTTGTTATATGCAGACGATTTAAAGTTGTATAAAGATTTTGATTGTCCTCAGGACCTCAGGATGCTGAACATCTTCAGTTAGATCTGAATAAAGTGTTCGAATGGTGTGGCTATAACTGGTTGCCATTAAAAAAATGCCATATTATATCTTTTTTGAAATTAAAATCGAGTACCATCTTTGATTATCGGTTAGATGTTAGATAATCAAACTATTTCCAGGGTTCATGAAATTAAAGATTTAGGAGTGATTTTCGATAGTACTCTGTCGTTTAAGAGTCACTAGCATCACATTTCCAAAAAAGCCTTGAGAATGTGGGATTTTGTATGGCGCAATGGAAAAGATCTTTCGCTGCAAGCCTTGAAAATCCTTTATTGTTCTTTGGTGCGTTCGCAGTTCGACTATTTTTCATCTGTCTCGTCGCCAATTTATAGTACTGACTGCCAATTGTTGGAGAATGTTCAAAAGAAATTTCTTCGAACTTTAGAATTTAAATTAGGTCGTAGTCACGTGAGGGGTAATTATAGTTGGATTATGAATGCTTTTAATATACAAACACTTAACATTCGTAGGTGCATCTCAGATGCTTGTGTTTTACATAGCATCATTAACAATAGTATAGACAACTCATTTTTATTAGCCAGATTATCATTCTTAGTACCCACTATTGATAGCTACAGTACTCGTAGTAAAAACATTTTCAGAATTTTTGCTTCAACAACGAATCATCCACTGAAGCGAATGATGGTCGCAGCAAATGAGTATTCATCAAAGCACGGTATCACTTTTCCAGACTACTAAGTTTCAGTTTCGTAATCAGGTTGCAAGTTATTATGGAAGAATTTGATTATTATTATTTAGTATATATCATTTATTAATTTAAATTTAAATTGTAATTTATATTTATTTATATTCATATGTAATTACTTCAGGAATTAAATTTAATTAATTAGGTTTTATTATTGTAAACTTATTTTTTGTTAATACGAGTTTTTACGTCAATAAATCAAATCAAATCAAAAAATCAAATCAAAATATAACCATTATAAGGAAATATCTCATGCAAACGCGATCAGCTCAACCTTTTTAAAGCAAATTGCCAGATTTAACAGTTTTCAATTTTTGGCTCAATGGACAGAAACCGATAAAACGTTGAACATACCACGGATGTAACAATGTCATAACAGCCTTAAATGTCTCAAAATCCTCGCTATCGTTGGGATGTTAATAGCTAAAAATTAATAAAAATAATTATCGTAAGAATTTGATATCATAAAGTTTACGATCGAATGCTAATCAGAGATCCTCTGATAACAGAAAAGGACGTTTTAACTGCCTTAACGAATACGAAAAATACATTCACAATGGGTCAGGTCAGGTCCTGATGGAGTTCCCAGTTTTTTGCTGAAAGATTGTATCACAGTTTTCGTCCAGCCATAATAAAAACATCTACTTTTCCGACAATATGGAAATCGGTTAGTATCTGCTCAATTCTTAAAAAGGATGACAAGACGGATATAGGAAATTACAGACCCCATATCACTGCTTTGTAATTTTTCGAAGATCTTCGAGACTGTATTATAGAAGCACATTTAGATTACTCTCCTGCAACATGGGTTTATCGAAGGGCGCTCCGCTATAACGAACGTGGTCATCTGTTTTACACAATTTATAGTTGAGGTATAGTTTTGGAAATTTCATTCTACCCTATAAAATTTTGTTGACAATAATAAGACGGACAGTAGTACAATAGTAAGAAATATCTATGGCTCACACCAGTTCATTCGAATTTGTGACAACAAGGGTTATTAACTTATTATGAAATAAAAAATAAAATAGTATATTATACGCCAAGGTAGTGAAGACAATTATTATAGACCGAACGTGGATTAGAAATCGAGACGGTTCGCGAAGCGTCGCGGGCTGTAATCCGCGTTCGGTCTATAATGATCTTCACTACCGTGGCGTATATACTACTTTTTTTTTCACTATTGGCGCAGTACAAAACACAGATTTGAAAAATTTTCAATTTATTAAAAATAACATAACGTCAACTGACATCCCCTAACTAGGTTTAGGTTCTGATCTTTTCTGTCATTATTCTCCGACGTTTGAAAAGTTGGTTTGTAATTAATGAGGTTTGTAATTTCAAATTGTCAATTAATTTATGTTTTTTAAGAAATATGTCAGACTATGTACCCCTTCCGAGATGCTGTTATGGCTGTTTGTACTTTTACATTCCTCGTGAAAATAATTTCAAAAATCTGGTTACTAATTGGTCAAATTTAATTATCATTATTGACTTTGGTAGAGAAAAACGAATTCACAACTCGCAGACAAGCATGATAATGGTGGGTTCTACGCTACTAGTGAAGAAAAATTTATCTGTTCTTTTTATTAAAATACATTGTCCACGTATTTAGTTTTATAAGATTTTTTGTTGCTGATCAACACCTTCACTAATTAATCGTACAGTTTGCTACAGAAGGTGGACATTTTAATTTCACTGTAGTATCTTCATTTGTAGTACCATCAGGACTAGCATCTAGCATTGATTAAATACATATAGATAGACCCATGCTATTGTTTGGAGCGAACAGGCCAACGGCCGGCGAACAAGAGATGGCGCACCAACGGTCGGCCGTCAAACGCCGGCGAAAAGCTTGGACACCAATCACGCGCATAGGTAACACAAATCATACTAATAATATATTT